TTTAAATTCACATGAAGGTGTGAAGTGGGGGCTTCCCATACCCGGAGGATCTGCTCGGAGACTATACAGCCACAGAAAGGCCTAGCTGGGAACTGCTTAGGGGACAAAAGAGTGAAAAGTGGAGTAACCCCAGCTAGCAGGAGGGGGACGAGATCAGGGAGCACACAGCATCCTCCTTTTCCAAGAGAAAATGGGAAGTTACTTCCTCTTCAGGAAGAGAGGCACGGCGGGGCCCACTGGTAGCTTCCCTTGGTGGTGATACACAGCATCCTACACCTCGGGGAGAAGGGGGCGGGCATCGGGGAGCAGGGTGAAGAGAAGGTGGAAAAGCACCACCCTCTTCTCCACCAGGCTCTTCCCTGAGCTGAGCAGGCGGGGAGGAGAGACAGCCGAATCCCAAAACGCCGCTAAAGGAACCGGAGGTTCATGGAGTAGCTGAGAGTTTAGGAATCCTCACCTGGCTTCTCATGCCAAGTTCCCCCTTCTCAAGGCCACAGCCACGGCCAGTGGCATCGCACTGGCTGGCAGGGTGACCGCTGGGAGAAAGGAGAAAATCACAAGGAAACCAGCCGTGTCTTGGGACTGTGCAGGAGGAACGTTAGGTGTGGGTCCTGGTTGGTGCCAGCATTTCCTGAGCTTTCCCACAATCAACAAAACACCTGAACCCTGTATTTACAGAGCACATTTGAGGCACACCCCAAGGGCTGAACCAGGCAAAGATTTACACAACAGCAGTAAACAGAGGAGATGGGACACCTGCCTGCCAGAAGCTTGCAGGACTTCTGTGCCTGCAGCAGTGCTGCACTCAGCCCTTAAGACCACCCTGGTTAGTCCTCAAGTCCGAAGCGGGTACTCATGTCATCTCCGTTTGATCCAAGGGGAAGCAAGCTGACAGCATCCTGCCCAGGGCCGGAGCCGAGTGCGGCCAGGATGAGGTGGCTGGACCAGGAACTGAGCTCCTATTCCGGACGCTCCTCAGAATCCTTGGGTCCTGCTGGATTTCAGGATTTTTCTGGTTTGCTATTGCCACCACCGTGGACGTCACAGCCCTCACCAGGGATAGCCTTGCCAAGCCAAGGCACCTTTTTCTTGAGATGGGCTGGAGGTGGGGGCCTCGCCCTACTTAGTGCTTGACCCAATCTGGAAGGTCAGAAACTGGGGATTAAGGCCCCTGTGGGGTACAAGGGGGGCCCAGAAAGCAGGAGGGGGAGTTTGAATGCCTGGGGCAGAGCACACCAACTGAGGCCTGGACTCATTGACTTGCTGCAAAAGGGAGTGATTTCTCCCCATCCTTCTAGGCCAGTTTTTCTCTTCCCTCAGAGCAGAAGCCCTCCCCTTCTCTGCCTGACTGTTTCCCCAAGACCACTCAGGCTTTTTCCACGGCTGTCAGGATAATATGGCTCAGACCCTGCCTGAACCTGTCAGCTTGGCCTCCCTGCTTAGAGCCCTCCCATTGCCCGTCCTTCCCCGTGGCCCTCGTCTGTCACTGCAGGTAAATGTGCATCAACACTGTGGCTGGTGTGTCCCGTCCCCGCCCCAACCTGAGCAAGACTGACCACAGGGCTGTCACCCTGATCCTTGGCCCCAGGGCTCCAGTGCGGGGCTCACCAGTCTGCAGGAGACCCACCAGCACTCAGAGCAGAGCCTGGACCACCCTGTCCAAGGGGAAATTGGGGAAGGTGTCCTCCGCGCTTTGTCTCTAGGGCCCTGGGGCAGAGCTTTACAAAGGAGCCCCTTACCCACTGGTGCCCTGGCATCACATAAAGGAGCTGGGGGGTAAGGGGGCCACCTGTGCCATGTTCCTCTCCCCCTGAAGGGCAGAGGCCCCTTCCTCACCGCATACCCCACCCTCAACAACTGCCCTGGGTGGAAGGTGCTGGAACCTGGAAACAGAGAGCTTGCACAGCCCACCTACTTGGTCACTCTCAGTGTCACCATAAAGAGCAGCAGGACAGCTGGAGCCATCACCTGACTGGGCACTGCCGCTGGGCCAAGGCCAAGGGGGTACCCAAGAGAGGCAGCACATTCAAGCAGCTCAGACAGGGCTGGGCAGTGGGAGGGGCCAGAGACATG